GCAAGGAGACCCACCCCTACCTGTCTCCTTAGAGACCCCTTCTTACAGGCCTTTGCTAACAGACACGCACGCCCCCCCTGTCTCCCCCTCCCTGCACACCAAAACCACCAGCAGCACCAGCAGCAGCAGCAGCAGCAGCAGCAGCAAAAGCAAAAGCAGCAAAAGAGCCCGAGGGGACAGCAGCAACTGCGGCAACCCCAAAACAACCGCCAACACCAACCCGTAACACGCGGAGACACTCAACGCGAACAACATGCTGTAGAGGCCTTTGACTTGCTGCTGGAGAGGGACAGACAGCAGCAGCAGCAGCTGCAGCAGCAAGAGCAGCAGCAGCAGCAGCAGAGAGATGAGACACCCAACATGCGCAGAAGCACACGAAGCCCTTCTTTTGCTGTTTTCACCGATGAATATCTCCAAGTCATCCTCGCAAGAATTGCAGAGAGGTCCGCATACACCTCATAGCCTCTACCAGCACCTGCTGTTGCTGCTGCTGCTGCTGCTGCTGCTGCTGCTGCTGCTTAGAAGGCCAGGGGGGGATCAAGCAAACGAAGTGATAGGAGGCATGTACGGCTCGCATGCCGTAATAAGCAGCCTGTGAATGCCCTTGGGTCATTATTGCTGCTGCTGCTGCTGCTGCTGCTGCTGCTGCTGTGGGTGCTGCTGTTGCTGTTGCTGTTGCTGTCGCAGGCTTACCGATCGGTGTTCTGCTTTGCTGCTGCTGCAACAAGCTTGGCAGCAAACTGCTTCGTTCGAACCAGAAGAGGGAAGCGACGCGCATGCATGCTGTGCTGCTGCCGCTGCCGCCGCTGCCGCTGCTGCCGCTGCTGCTGGCAGTACGAAGCTGCAGCAACAACACGAAGAGGCAGCAGAGATGGTTGCTGCTGCAAGCGAGGGGCTGACGTCAGAAGAAGAAGCCACGCTGCTCGGTTAGACTCCTTGCCCTCCTGCTGCTGCTGCTCCTGCTCATGATACAGCAGCAGCAGCAGCGGCAGCTGCATGCGGCCTCTTCTGTTGCTACAGCAACAGGAGAGATCGCATGCAGACGGGCCTCAGCTGTAGAAGTTGCGGCAGTGCTTGTTGCTGGTGAATGTGCTTCGGATAGGGGGGTGGCGCTGACCTGCTGCTGCTGCTGCTGCTGTTGCTGCTGCTGTTCCTTGCAGCAAGAAAACTGACGCTTACCTGGTTGGAGGCCTTTGTTGATTTGGCTGCTGCTGATGTCTCGCACGTTGAGGTTGGCATTGCGCTGCAGCAACTGCAGACGCAGTGCCCGTCCCCAGTGTATGTCCACCCTGCGCTGCTGTTGCTGCTGCTGCTGCTGCAGTAGCAGCGACTTCTACTGCTGCTGTTGCTGCTGCTTCGTAGATGCTGGCGGATGCTGTACAAACACCACGGAGGATACTTGCAGCACGTTCGTGTCGCTTGGCTGCCTACAAGAAAGGACACTGCCTTTGCTGCTGCTGCTGCTGCTGCTGCTGGTGTTGCTGCTGCTGCTACAGGATGACTGCAGGGTTCTTCTTCAGTCGGGTGATGCTGGAGAGATACGAAGCTTACGAAGAGGCTCTCCGTTGGGCCGTTCAGGTCGTGGACTCCGCAACAGCCCCTGGAGACCTGCAGCAGCAGCAGCAGCAGCAACGGCAGCAGCAGCAGCAGGGAGGGCACGGAGAAGCTATCTCGCCGAAGCTAAGAGGCAGCGCGGCTCTCGAGGCGGCCTTTGCACTCTTCGCGCGTCAGAACGCCCAGGGTATCAGCAGGTCAGCATTGGCTGCTGCTTGTCCTGCTGCTGCTGCTGCTTCTGCTGCTGCTGTGGCTGCTGCTGCTACTGGAGTTGTGGGGAACATGTTTGGTCTTCTGAGGTCTGTCATCATGCGAGTGTTTTTGACTGGCTTCGAAGGCCTCTTCGTTTTGCTCATTTTTCCGGATTTAGGGTTTAGGGTTTAGGGTTTAGGGTTTAGGGTTTGTTGTTGGGTGTCAGGCAGCACTTTCGCACAGTGCTGCACGTATGTCTGCCTTCGCTTCCATCTTTGCTGCTGGATAAGGCCTATCAACTGGCGCCTAAAGATAAGGCTGGGAACGTGAGGTGAGGAGACACTGCAAGGAAACAGGCACCCCACACCCTACAGCAGCAAGCAGCAGCACTCGGGTGTACAGGCACCTCCCAGGTGGCAGCAGAGCAGCGGCTTGTCGTGAGGCCAGAAAGGCACAGGCAGACAGAGGACGTTGTTTTTCCGAACAAGCACTGCTGCTGCTGCTGCTGCTGCTGTGCTCAGGTTTAGTCTGTGGCTGCAGCGGTTGTCCCTCGAGAGGCAGCCAGAAGACACAGCAGAAGCAGCAGCAGCAATACCTACCTCCCGTACAGTTGTTGCTGCTTCTTCTGCTGCTTCCACAAACAAAAATGCTTCTGTAGCTGCGCCTGCAGCAGCAGCAGCAGCAGCAGCAGCTTCTGCTGCTGCTGCTGCTGTGGCTGACCAATTGCAGCCGGGTGGGGACTCGAACGTCGGAACCAGCCCAGCAGCAGCAGCAGCAGCAGAAACACTGAATGCAGCAAGTAGCGCAACAGCAACAGCAGAGACACCGCAAGAGCCTTCAGCAGCAGTAACAGCAACAGCGGGAACAGCACAAACTGCTGCAGCAGCAGAGGCACCACAGCAGAGCGAAACACTCCCTGGGGCCCCCTCGAAGCCAATAGCCTTCTTGACAAGAGAGTTGCAGCAACAGCAGCAGCAACAACAGCAGCAACAGCAGCAGCAACAGCAACAGCAGCAGCAACAGCAGCAGCAGCAGCAACACCATGGGGACCAGCACCAGCTTCGGTATGAAAAGGCGGAGCATGAGAAGCAGCCGCATCAGCAGCAGCAGCAGGAATATGTGGAGCAGGGGACCCAGGAGCAGCAGCTGCAGCAGCAGCAGCAGCAGCATTTGCAGCCGGAGAGGGGACAGAAAGAGCAGCAGCACGAAACTAGAGGCCGTATCCACCCTATTGAGACCCCACCGCCACTTCATCTCGTCTCTCCCTGTATTGACAGCAGCAGCAGCAACACCTGCACCAGTAGCAGCCGCTGGTGCCGCAGCAGTAACAGCAGCAGCAGCAGCAGCTGCTGCTGCTGCAAAGGCAGCAGTTGCAGCGGAGCTAGCCTTGGGGCCGCATGGCTTGAAGAGAAGTCTTCGTTCCTATCCCCCAAGAACAACGAAGGCAGCAACAGCAGCAGCAACGGCAGCAGCAGCAACAGCAGCAGTAGCAACAGCAGCAGCAACAGCAGCAACAGCAGCAGCACTAACAACAACGACAATAACGACAATTTTAGCAGCAGCAGCAGTAGCAGCAACAGCAAATCCTCACAAGAGGTTGTGCTGCCACAGGCCAAGGAATCTTCGCTGCAGCAGATGCAGCAGCTGCAACGCAGACTGAAACAGCAGCAGCAGGAGCTACAAGAACAACAAGAACAGCAGCAGCAGCAGCAGCTACACCTGCTGCTGCTGAACACTACCCCTGAGCAAACACCTGAAGTTGAGCGTATGCATTCCCCAGCAGCAGCAGCAGCTGCTGCTGCTGCGTCTGCTACTGCTGCACCAGCTTCTGCTGCTGCCCCTGCTGCTGCAAAGTGCAGCCCGTTCCTTTTACGCCGTCCTTCTGATTCTCCTTTTTGTGCTGCTCCCGTTGCTGCTGCTGCCTCTCCTTGCTGCTGTTTGCATGTACTGCAGCAAAAACCGGCAGTCACAGCAGCAATCCCCGGAGGCCGAAGCAGCAGCGAAGTGGAGCAGCAGCAGCAGCAGCAACAGCAGCAGCAGGCGGAACAGCAGACACCAGAGCTTCCCCAGCAAACAGCTGTAGCATTTCCAGAACATTCAGAGCAGAGTTTAGAAGCAGAAGTGGGGACAGGCACTGTCCCTGCTGCTGCTGCTGCTGATGATGATGATGATGCTACTAGTGCGGGTGTTGCTGCTGCTGAGGCTGCAGCGCTGGCGTGTTCCCCCGAAAGAGCTGCCTATACACCTCAACTCGCACAGACCCATCTCCGTGAAGATGCAGCGAGGGCTGAGCCTGCTGCGGCCTGTGTTTCTGCTGCTCCTACGGGTGCTGCTGCTGCTGGTGCTGCTGCTGCTCCTATTGCTGCTACTGCTGCTGCTGTTTCGTCTAGTGTCAGTGAGACCGCACGTTTGTTTGCAGAAGGTTCACCAGCCCCCCAGCAGCAGCATCAGCAGCAACTGCAGCAGCCACAGCAGCAGCAGCAGCAAGAGCAACTGCAGCAGGAGCAGCGACAGGTGTCAGTGAATATCCAGCCCCAACAGCTTGACAGCACTCTAAGCAGCAGAAGGGTGCAGCGGGGCCGCAGCAGCAGCAGTACCTGCTGTCTTCGCCAACACTGTAGCAGCAGCAGCAGCAACTACAGCAGCATCAACTGCAGCAGCAGCAACTGCAGCAGCATTCAATGCAGCAGCAGCAACTGCAGCAGCAGGAGCACCACTACCCGCTTCTGCAGCAGAAGCAGCAGCAGCAGCGACAAGAGGTGCTACACGAAGGCATGGAGACAGAGGAGAAACAGCTGCATGCATGTGTCTCTACCGGAAGCAAATGAACAGCCCTTATGCTTCTCAGGCACCGAGCAGCAGCAGCAGCTGCTGCATCAACAGACGGAGCAGCAACAACAGCAGCAACACGAGCAGCTGCAGGGACTCACGCAAGCGCACGTTCACCAAATGCAACAGATAAAACAAGTGCAGCAGCAGATGCATCAGCAGCAGATGCAGCAGCAGATGCAGCAGCAGCAGCAGCAGCAGCAGCAGATGCAGCAGCATCAGCAGCATCAGCAGCAGCAGCAGCAGCAGCAATTGCCGCAGCAGACTTACCAGCTTGGGCAACAAAGGCAGCAGGCATACATTGCTAGCTGTGCTGGTGCTGACGCAGTTTGTGCACCATGCGGCAGCAAAGGAAACATTCAATCCTGTTGCTGCTGCAGCAGCAGCTGCTGCAATAGCAAACCAGTTGCCGGTGGCTGCTGCCACGAAGCCCGGGTTGAAGTGTCGCAGCTCAGCATGTCGCTGCAGCAGGAAAGAAAGGGGGAGGCGCAGCAGAAGCTGCAGCAGGAGGTGCAGCAGCTGCAGCAAGAGGTGCAGCAGGAGATGCAGCACCTGCAGCAGGAAGTGCAGCAGCAGCAGGCGCAGCAACAGCAGCAGAAGTTGCAACAGCAGATGCAGCGAGAAATGCAACAGGAGGCGCAGCAGCTGCAGCAGCAGGTGCAGCAAGATGTGCAGCAAATGCAGCAGCTGCAGCCACCACACTTCTTTGGAGATGCTTCCGTCTTCTCTATACCGCACTGCGCGTGCCTGCCCCTGGGGCATCAACAGCAACACGGGCAGCTGCAGCAGTACCACCAGCAGCAACAGCAGCAACAGCAGCAGCAACAGCAGCAGGAACGGCACCGCCAGTACATGCTCCTGCAGCAAGGGCTGCTCGTGCAGCAGCTGAAGCATCCGTCGCACCATCATGCATTTGGAATTGAGACAGGTGAAAGCACCCCAGTTTCTCTTGCTGCTGCTGCCGGTGCTGCTGCTGGTGCTGCTGCTGCTGGTGCTGCTGCTGCAGGCGGGAAGCACCTGCCTCACGGGGAAGCATGGAGCTGCTGCTGCAGCACAACAGCCAGCAGCGGTGTCAGAGGAAGGCCTTCGACTCCTCTCAGTGCCTGCAGCAAACTGGCGCATGTCTCTTCTCCTGAAACAGTTTGCTGCTCTCCCCAGCTCGTCAGGAGGTGCAGCAGCAGCAGCAGCAGCTGCAACTGCAACTGCGAACAAGGAAAGGTCAGGTGTCTCTCTCACCAAAGCTGCACCCCGCGTTCTCCTCTGGTCGAAGGCCAGGCAGAGTCTGCTGCAGCTGCTGCAGCAACCGTAGCAGCAGCTGCTGCTGCTGTTGCTGAGCTTCCGGTGGTGCAGCGGCTGCTGCAGCAGCTGCAAGCGGAGAGGCTAGCCTGCTGCAGTGCAGCAACAGACCTAAGTGATGATTCCTTACTTTGGTATCGTGAGACCCAAGCTGTAACCCGAGGCATTCTGGCTTCGATTGCTGCAGCAGCAGCAGCAGCAGCAGCAGCAGCAGGAACTACGGGCGCTGCTGCACCAGCAGCACCGTCTGCTGCAGCAGCCGCTGCTGCAGCAATGAATAATGTAGACAACTCGAACCAGCAACAGCAGAAAATACTCTTCACAGAATGGGCAGCTGAAGCAGAAGTGCTGCAAGCAGCAGCAACACAGCAGCTTGCCGTCCTGCGAGCACGACAGCAGCAGCACCACCACCGCCAGCCTCCTCAGCAGCAGCAGCAGCAGCAGCAGCAGCAGTCCCCATCCGCCCTTCGGGGGTGCGAACAGGTTAAAGGAAAGGCCAGAGAAGATGCAGCAGCAGAAGGCAGCAGCGAGGTTTCCTGCTCAAGTGCAGCAGCAGCAGCAACAGCAACAGCAGCAGAAAACGTATCTGTTGCTTTGCAGCTTGAGGAGTTGTATTTGTCTATCAATGACTCTATACAAACACGCGTTGTTGCTGCAGCAAAATGCCTCATCCCTTTCTGCCCTGATGCTGAGGTGTACGTACACCTAACGCTGCTGCGGGAGCAGCTAACTCGCGAAATAGCGGTGGGGCTTCGAATGGCAACAGCAGCAGCAACAGCAACAGCAGCAACACAAGCAGCGCCTTCAGCGACTGCTGCTTCAGCAGCAGCAGCAGCAGCGGCTGCTGCAGCAGAACGCGAGGACATGCGGTGCTTGTTGCATGTGGTAGCAGAGAAGCGGCAGCTGCTGCAGCAGCTGCAGCTGCTGCTGCAGCGGCAAGGAGGAGCGAAGCAGCAGCTGCTGCTGCAGCAGAACCCTGCCCTGCAGCGGCTTGCTGCTATGGAAGAGGCCCTGTGGGGCGGGAGAGGAGTCAGCAAGACGAGCTGGCTGTTTATTGCTGCTGCTGCTTTTGCTGCTGTTGATTGTCTTGCTGCAGAGGCGCTGCAGGAGCTCTCAGCAGCAGTTTGCTGCATGCGAAGAAACTACGAGCTCATGCTGCTGCAGCAACGCACAACACGACAGCAGCAGCAGCAGCATGATCTGCAGCAGCAAGTCGAACAAGAGCAGCAGCACCTCCGGTCGCGGAGGAATACTGCGCCAGCTGTAGCTGCTGCGCCTACTGCTGCTGCTGCTGCTGCTGCGGGAACTCCAGCAGCAAACAGCCAGCACTTCCCTCTCCTTCCTGTCATCTCCTTGTGCCCCATTGCCTCGGTGCAGCAGCAGCAGCAGCAGCAACTGCAGCAACTGCAGCAGCAACTGCATTGGCACGCTGCTTCAGAGTTCACGGCATCGCCAACAGCAGAACCAACACCAGCAGCAGCAGCAGCAGCTGCTGCTGCTGCTGCACAGAAACACTTGCTGCTGCAAGTGCCACGCAGCTGTGGCAGCCCCTTCTGGGCTCGCAACAGCTGCTGCTGCAGCAGCAGCGGCAGAAGCAGCATCTTCAGTAACAGCAACTGCAGCGCGAGTGCTAGCAGTGCGAGCCGGTGCAAGAGTCAAGTCAGCAGCAGCAGCAGCAGCAGCATCAGCAGCAGCAGCAACGGGTACAGCAACAGCGGCTGCCTGCAGTCTCGGCGCAGGTGCACAAGCCCAACTGGCAGATGGTGTGCAGCAGCAGCCTCACCCGCTGCTGCAGCAGCTGAAGCAGCAGCAGCTGCTACAGCAGCTGCTGCAGCAAATGCTTCAGCTGGAAGTAATGGCTTCTGCTGCAGCAGCAGGAGACACTGCTCTCTCGCCACGTCTGCGCTTTCTCCAGTCTGGCATCAGCAAGAGCAGCAGCAGATGCAGCAGCAGATGCAGCAGCAAATGCAGCAGCAGATGCAGCAGCAGATGCAGCAGCAGATGCAGCAGCAGATGCAGCAGCAGTTGCAGCAGCAACTGCTGCTACAAGGCCAGCATCAACACAAACCCTTTGCCTGGCACCAGCCCTCGCACCACTATAGCTTGCTGGTGCAGCCGCAACTGCAGCAGCAGCAACAGCAGCAGCAGCAGCAACAGCAGCAGCAGCAACAGCAGCAGCACAGTGCACTGCAGCACCAAGAGGGACAGTCTCCCATGTTTATGCGCCATCAGGAGGAGGACGAGAAGCAGCAGCAGCAGTGGCGAGCTCAGCTGCTGCCGCTGCAGCAGCAGCAGCTGCAGCAGCAGCCGCAGCAGCAGCACCCAGACCTAACGCCAGCCTTTCATGGCTCGGCATTAACTTTTGCTGCTGACAATTTTCAACAGCAGCAGCACCAACACAGGCAGCAGCTGCTGCAGCCAGTCCTGTTGCCGCCGCAGCAGCAGCAGCAACTGCAGCAGCAACTGCAGCAGCAGCAGCTGCAGCAAATGCAGCAGCAGCAACTGCAGCAACTGCAGCAGCAGCAACTGCATCAGCAGCAACTGCAGCAGCAGCAGCTGCAGCAGCAGCAACTGCAGCAGCAGAAGCTGCTGCGGATGCCGCAGCACTACTAACATATCCTTTCTCAATCGTTCGCCATATCTTTTGTAACACGAACTCGCTGCATTCTCCCGCAGCAATTTACTTCTGCTACGGTTGCACAGCAGCAGCTCCCAGCTGCAGTAGCAGCAGCAGCAGCAGCAGCAAACTAGCGTGCAGCTGTAGGGAACTTCGGACTAGAAAAAAAGACATAAGATGTAGATACACTTCAGTTGCTCTGAATTGCAGCAGCAGCAGCAGCAGGCGCTGAAGTAGTCGCACTTGCTGCTGCTGCTGTTGCTGCTGCACTGCATTTGCTGCTCCCTGTTCGTGTGCAGCAGCAGGCAGACGCATGCACCTTTTGCTGCTGCAGCTAAAGAGCAAACCCCACGTTACAACGGCCCCAAAGGAGACCCTCGTTGCGGCACAGTAGCAGCAGCAGCAGCAGCAGAACTGCCGCAGCATCTGCTGCTGCACAAGGCAAAAACTGCAGCCGCAGCAACAGCTGCTGCTGCTGCGCTTGCTCCTGCTGAGGCAGCAGCAGCAGCTGCAGCAGCAGCAGCAGCAGCACTGGTGGTGGGCTACCTTTTGCCTTGTCTGCGTGACAGCCTCCAGGCGTTGGGTTCTTCGAAGCGGTTGTAGAGGGGCTCAATCCTCTCCCGCATCTTACGACGAGACAGACGCTGCTGGTCTGCCTGCAGCACACAGCAGCAGCAGCAGCAGCAGGAGCAGGACCAGCTATGCAGCAGCAGCACATATGCTGCAGCGGCAAAGGCACAACAGGATAGACATCGCACACACACACACAGACACAGACAGAGAGAGAGAGAGAGACAACAGCAGCACCAGCAGCCGTGCAGCCGCCCACCCGCAACAGCAGCGGCAGCAGCAGAAGCAGGAGCAGCAGCAGCAACGTGAGCAGCAAATATGCTGCAGCTGCAGCAGACGCACAGGTTTAAAGAGCTTCGGAGCGACGTCGCACAGCCAAAGAGGTTCGATGGTGCAGCAGTCCCGCAAATACTCTTTAGTAGTCAAGACCAGCTCGTGATATACCAGCCACTCAGGGTTGCTGCAGCAATAACAGCAGCAGCAGCAGCAGCAGCAGCAGCAGCAACACAATGCTCGGCTGGAGGCCTTCAAGTAGTGCCACAGGCATTCATACCGGCAGGGGAGGAGCAAACCCATGCAGCAGCATCAGCCACAGCAGCAAAAGCAGCAGTAGTAGCAACAGTGACACAGCCCCAACAGCAGCAGCAGCAGAACAACAGCATCAGCTGCAGCAGCAGCAGCAGCACCACCACCACCACCACCACCGGCATCAGCAGCACCATCAGCATCAGCACCACCAGCATCAGCATCAGCAGCAGCAATAGAAGTTACCGGTTGTACAAGGCACTGGATGGATGCATGAAAACTTGTTGATGGTCTACGAGCGTTCTGTAGCCTTCTTGTGGGTCTACGCGGCACGCGTGGCGAAAGAAACCTGCGCATATGCATCGACCTGCAGCAGCAGCAGCAGCAGCAGCAGAAGCAGCAGCAAATCAATAGCGCAGTAACAATGGTCTCGTATGCAGATGCAAACCAAACTGCGAGGGACTCGTTGAGGCTGACGCATGCAGCTAAATAAATACAAACAAATAAATAAATATATAAATAAATATGTATGCATGCATACATATATACACCAAATAAGTACGCATAGATATCAATATATATCATACGTACACAAGTACAGACATGCATGCATGCATACAGATGTATATACATATATATATATGCATATATATATATATATATATGAAATAAATAAATAATGTATATATATTCATATTTCCCTTGCGCGCATACATATACATGCATATTTACACACATGCGAGTGCATGTACGTATGTGTATATATCAGCAGCAGGGCAGAGGACCGCGAGCAGCAACAGCAGCAACAGCAGCAGCAGCAGGAGCCAATCTTACGAATGCGCTTGTAGTCATTGCCTGCAGAGATAATATCGAGTTTGTATCGGTCCATAATAGATATAAGTTGCTTCCTCACGTCCTGCGCTCGCCGCAGCGCCCGGTGCTGAACAGACAGCAGCAGCAGCAGCAGCCAAGGATATCAGGGGAAAGAAAGAGATAGATGCAGATGCAGCAGCATGACGAGCAGCAGCAGCATGACCAGCAGCAACACCAGCACCACCAGCAGGAAGAACAGCAGCGGCAGCAGCAGGAAGAACAGCAGCAGCAGGAGCAGCAGGAAGAACAGCAGCAGCAGAAGCAGCAGCAGCAGCAGAAGTAGATGCTCGAACCTGAATAAAGTTTTCATAGCACCAAGCATTGCTGAATCTGTTGCGTTGCCAAGCGCGGTAGAGTTCGAGGTAAGTAATATGGTCTCCTTCGGGCTGATGAAAGCCGCTCTTCTTCTGATCAGCCAATGCCTGACGATCCTGCACTCAAATTAAACAAATCACAAGTACTTACGTTCAATTCTATATCCACCAACACATATATTCATCCATGCATGCATCCATGCATGCATGCATGCAGGCACGAATGCATGCATGCGGGCAGGAATGTATGCATGCAGGCAGGAATGCATGTAGGCGTGTATGCAGATAGTCAGGTATGCATGCATGCATGCATGCATGCAACCGGGGCTGGATGCATGCGCGGAGGTGGCAAGTGCTAATAGAGAGGAAGGGAGATACAGACCAGGTTGAGTAGTTAGGGTTTATTAATTAGGGTTAACTCTAGCGAATTAGGGTTTGTTCATTAGTCTCTATTCAGGTGTATTGGGGCCAATGAGGTTTATATTCTCGTGGAATGGGGTGTACACGCAGCCTATTGACTCGAGTGTACTGGGAGTTTATTATTATTATTACTATTATTATTTACCCTTACTTATCACTATTACTGTTATTTATTAATAAGTATTATTATTATAGCTATTATTGACATTATTATTATTAATTAGTATTTATTGTTATTATTATTATAATGGAATAGGATGTACATATAATAAACAAACCTTAGGTCTATAGAAGACATTCTGCACGGAGAGCATAGCGACAATAGTGATAACTTCATCGCTGCATTTAAGGTCAACAGAAGTAAGCAGCATTTTGCTGAGTTGAGGCTCCATGGGGAACTCAGCCATTTTTCTCCCGAGTTTAGTAAGAAGACCTTCATCATCAAGAGCTCCTAGCTCGAAGAGTGTTTCTAAAGAGTTAATTAGGGTTTGTACAGGAGGGGGATCCATGAAATCAAAATTTAATAAGTCGTTTACTCCCATTGCTTTCAACAGCAGCACTGTGTTTTCTAAATTCGTCCTCTGTATCTCAGGAACTGCAGTAGGCAGCATTTCACAACGGTATGCTGCCTCTGTATATAAACGATAACACTTCCCAGGTCCTGCATGCAAACAAACATAAACACTTTCTTTGGGGCTTCTTCCTTTTTGGCGCTTAGGGTTTACACCTCAGGCATTAAGGATTAGGGTTTACGGTTTCCGGGGTTTTGGGTCGACGGGTCGGAGTCTAAGGCTTAGGATTCACACTTTAGGGTTTAGGGTTTAGGGTTTAGGGTTTAGGGTTTAGGGTTTAGGGTTTACCCGTGCGACCAGCACGCCCAGCCCTCTGCCTCGCGTTTGCTTGGCTGATAGGCGCGACTGTGAGTGCATCCATGCCTGACTTTGGGTTGTACATCTTTACCTTTGCAAACCCAGGATCAATTACGAAATAAATACCTAAATTCAAAAAGAAACAACAAATAAAAGCAAGAATAAAGCAATACATTTAAATTCCTCAGTTTTATTGCTTTTTATTCGTTGTTAAAACAGAAACAACGAATAAAAAGCAATAAAACAACCTATTTAAATGCCTACATTCACAAATAAACAGCTTTTTTGAATGTCTACATGCAAAAGGAAAAAACAAGCACAAACAACAGCTTATACAGCAAAATGACAGGCAGCAACAGCTGCTGCAGCAGCTGCTGAAGCACCTCTCCAGCAGCAGCTGCTGCAGCAACGGAGAAGACGCTTCTAACAGAGACATGCAACATGCAAAATAAAGTCGCCGGTCCGCTATACTGAACCCCTAAACCCTAAACCCTAAACCCTAATCCCAAGCGCCAACCCTCAAACCTCTCTACCCACCACCCTGGTGGGTAATAGACCCAAACCCTAAACCCTAAACCCTAAACCCTTCAAACTTACCGTCAATGGTAAGGGAAGCCTCTGCAATGTTGGTAGCTACAACACATTTTCTGCACCCTGGTGGTGCAGGATCGAAGATCATAGTTTGAACTTCAGAAGGAAGAGCGGAGTATACGGGGAGAATAATAAGAGGTGGAGGGTTGGCTGACTCAAGTCTTTGCATGCGTTCGTGTAGAGTCTGACAGGTAGTATCAATCTCTTCTTGCCCGGTAAGAAACAATAATATATCACCAGGAGGCTCACATAGATGAATCTGAAGTACTGTTATTAAAGCTGCTTCTACATAATCTGTCTCGGGTTCTTTTGTATATAATATCTCAACAGGAAATGTCCTCCCTGGGATTGTAAATATACTTGAATTAAAAAAGTAATTCGAAAACTTCTCCGCATCCAAAGTCGCCGACGTTACTATCAACTTAAAATCTGGACGCTGACGGCAGCACTCCTGTAAAAGCCAAACAAAAACACACAAAACTTCATATTTCACACAATATAAACGCATGCAACATGCATGCATGCATGCATGCATGTACTCCAAGCAAAGGCTTTCATATACATATACACACACACACATATATATATATATATATATATATATATATATAAGTATGGAACAGAAAGCTGCGAACTCCGACAAACTACTTGAACAGCATCTCCAGAGCCCAAATATGCATGCAAGCATGTACTGTATGGGTGCATGCATGCACTTTTGGGGCTTGATATGAACATGCAGGTGAGCTGTGAACACCAACAAAAATCCCTCTGTCTCTCCAGCAAGCCGCGCAGCAGCAGAAGAAGACCCTTTAAAAAGCCAACAGCAGCAGAAAAGAAGAAAAAAGAACAGCAGCAGCAAGCAAGGGGGAGACATAAAACAGCAGCAGGAGAGACAAAGCAGACAGCAGCAAAGACAGCAGCAGCAAGCAAACAGCAAGCATACGAAGAACAGCAGCAGCAACAAACAAATAACAGACTAATAATATACACAATTGTAGGGAGGGTATCTGTCAGCTACGCTGAGATGCACGCAGCCGTCACCTGCCTCCCCATTGTTTCTTCCGCTTCAAAATAAAAGTAAAGAAAATTAATAATTGAAATTAAAAAGAGACAGAGAGACACTACTGCTTAGGTCTAGCAAAGCACCCAAGCAGCAGCGGCGAAGCGGAGATAACTCTTTATTTGCATCTATGCTTTTTTAATGCAAATATACAAAACAAAACAAAAAAAACAATTATAATATCAATTAGACCAAAATACAATAGACCGCCCAACTTCCACGCACATATCCCCCCCACACTCTAAACCCTAAACCCTAAACCCTAAACAATAAACAATAAACCCCAGACCCTACCCTCACCACTAAACCCTAAACCCTAAGCAATAAACCCTAGCCACCCCGCACAAGAGTCCGAGCAGCAGCAGCGCAGCAGCACCGGACGAGCATTCCAGCTGCACCTCAGCAGCACCGCTCCAGCACCACAGCAGCAGCACAGCAGCAGCGCAGCAGCAGCAGCAGCAGCACAGCAGCAGCTAACCTTAAGGAGACCAAAGAGAACATCCGTGCTGATAGTTCGCTCGTGGGCTTCATCCAGCATAACTACGGAATAACGCTGGAGACGCGGATCGACTAAGGCCTCTCGCAGCAGCAAGCCATCTGTCATATATTTAATTATGGTGTCTGCAGAGGTGCAGTCTTCAAAACGAATCGAATACCCCACCTGCAAGCAGCCCAAACCCTAATAAACCCTAAACCCTAAATCCTAATTAACCCTAATCCCTAAACCCTAAACCCTAAACCCTCCCGCAAAACCCCAACCTCCTACACAAAAAGCCCGAAAGAAACAGCAAATGCAGCGTCACGAAATCACAAACGATGACTCGCCCGCTACGCCTACCTGTAAACCCTAAACCCTAAACCCTAATAAACCCTAAACCCTAATAAACCCTAAACCCTAAACCCTAAACCCTAAACCCTTACTTCCTGTCCAAGACGGCACCCGAATTCCTCTGCAACGCGTTTAGCTACGCTCATTGCTGCAACTCTTCTGGGCTGAGTACAGCCGATGAGTCTCCCAGGTGTAACGAGGCCCGCTTCAGCCATATACTGCGTCATTTGTGTTGTTTTCCCTGTTCAGTGTACATACACCCCACATCATACCGGACAAGCCATGGAAATGCATGCATGTACCTACGCATGCATGCATGCATGCAGCTCCAAAACACTTCCTACGCCTGGTGTACAACAGGGATGAGGAAGAGACGAAGAGAAAGTAGACAGAATTGAATAAACAAGATCCGCAACATCAGCAGCAGCAGCAGCAGCAGCAGGAGAGGGTGCATGCAAGTACTGTGTTTATATTAGCGAGTGAGTATAAACATACCGCTGCCTGTCTCCCCAATAACAATGAGGACTTGATTGTTGGTAATGGCCTTCAGCAGCTGCTCTTTTAACTTAAATATCGGCAGAGACCGTCGCTGCTCCGCAATAGACAAAGTACTCTTTATACCAAACGACACATTCTTCCCCAAGTACAGCTTCTTCCACTCAGGCATTTCATAACCTGCAGCCCCATATACAATTATAATATATATACATATATGTATATATTATATATGCATATATATATATGTATAGAGATGTATACATATATATGCATATATGCATCTATATATAATACTACCCTAAAGCCTCCACCCAACATAAACATGCACTCGAAATCGAATGCAACAAGGGGGCAACAGCAGCAGCAACAGCAGCAACAGCAGCAGCGACAGCAGCAGCAGCAGCAGCAGCAGGTGGGTGACCTGTTTGTCCTAGGCCTTGCAAGGCCTGAGCAATTGTTCTTTCTCCAGGCTGAGGGTTTGGGTCTTCCCAGGGCCGCGACATATCCTTGGGGATCGAGTCCAGGATCGCCGCCTCCTGCGCTTGGCTGTATGTACACCCCACACGAACGAATAAAAAATATTTATTGTTTATAGGAAACAATCAAAATAAATGCAATAAACCCAAATAAACGTTATAATAATAGTAATTGTAACAGTAGAAATAACAATGACAGTAACACGAAGAATAACAAGAACAATAACAAACATAATATTATAAGTCAATAAAATAATAATACTGCATAATAATAATAATTATTATTATAACAACAACAACAAAAACATAATAATAACAGTAGATATAATAATAAAAGTAATAACGAGAACAATAATAATAATAGTAAGAATAATCATATCGGGCCCCCAGAAAGCTAAAGACCTTAATTGGCGTCTTCCACATGCATGCATGCAGCAGCACCGCTGCATGCACAGGATTGCATGCGGGTGTATATACACCTGCATCCGCATGCATCCAAGCATCCCAAGCCCCAAAACGTGTGCATGCATGCATGCAGGTGTCTCCTACCGAACATCTCTCCTCTCCTTTGCGAGGGACTGCGCTGTTGCTGCTGCTCGAGCAAGAGACCCGTCTGGGTTGGCGACAATCTTCACCGGAGACAGCTGCATGCCTAAAGGAGACAATCAGCAGCAGCAGCAACAGCAGTAGCAGTGGCAACAGCAGCAGAAGCAGCAGTAGCAGCAGGAGCAACAGTAGCAGCAACAGCAGCACCAGCAGTAGCAGCAGCTGCAGCAGCAGCGAGCGGGAGTCACAGACAATTGCAGCAGTACGCAGCAAACGCCCGGCCAGGTGAAAGAGGTGAGGGTTTAAGAGGAGGCTGATATCCGTGGGTGCCCGTATCAGTGTCTAGGGTTTAGGGTTTAGGGTTTAGGGTTTACCAGCCCTGGTGGTTTGTCCTCTAAGGAAGAGGGGCTCTTCGTCTACAACTTCTATCTCCACGTCTTCTTCTGCTTCTTGTGAAGGCAGCAAACCCCCAGCCTCTTCATCATAATAAGGGTTTTCTTTGCTGCTCACCAAACCGCTGCGCTGCAGCTGCTGCGCCTCCCACTTGTCGTAGTCGGACATCAGCCTGCATGCAAACCCTAAACCCTAAACCCTAAACCCTCAACCCTAAACCCTAAACCCCGAAAAACAAACACAAAACCCTCAACCCTAGACCCTGAACCTCGAACCCTAAACCCTAAACCCTAAACCCTCTGTGGTTTGGGTGTTGTGTTTGCGAGGGAGAGTATGCAGGCGGGGAGGCGAGGTATTGAGGGTTTGAGTGTGTCATACTTTCTCTTTCTTGCATAAGCTGTCTCTTCTTCTGTAGACTCAATGTTTATCTTCACTCCTGTAATGCGGCCAAGACCCTTCTTCTCTAATGCCTGTGCATGCTCCTCAGCAAGAGATTCAAACAGAGCAGCACGTGACCCCGCTGCAGCACAGACAGCCACCCACAGCAGCAGCTGCATGCACTTGCTGCAAGCAGTTGATGCAGCGGTTGCTGCATGCAGTTGCTGCATGCATGCATGCAGCAGCAAATAGAGGAACATGTGGAAACAGAAACCCCACAACCAGCAGCAAGAGACACAAAAACAAACAAAACAAGACAGACACTGACACAGCAAAGGAGACACGCCGCATGCATGCAGATTAGTGAGTGAGCACCCTGCATGCATGCATGCATGCATGCATGCATGCATTCGTTACCTGCATTTCCTGATTGTAGATTTCTAGGTTTGAGGTCTCTGCCTGTAGCTTGGTCGACTTCTCGCATTGTCAGAGACAAACGACTCCCAGCAATTGCATGCACCTTCACCTTCACCAGCTGTCCCTTCTTTACGGCATCCCTATATATATAACAGACAAAACCAGCAGCAGCAGCAGCAGCAGCAGCAGCAACAGCAGCAGCAGCAGAAGCAGCAGCAGCAAATGTAGACATAGAAGGGAGAAACGGAGACAGTTTGTTTGCATGCATGTATGCATGCATCCATGTATGCAGGGGCAGTGGGGCTGGTAGCATAAATACAATTCAAGATTCTGCTGCTGCCTTGTTGCATTCTCCTCTCAGTCTGATGCTGCGTCTGCTGCTGCTTAAATTAACTCCAAGTGTCTCTGCAGCTGTTTCCGTCTCCAGCTGTCTCCTCAGCGGCGACTGTCTCCTCTTGTCTCTCAATCTACTGCTGTCTCTGTTTCTATCGAGCTCCTTTGGTTATACTTCCCTGTCTTGCTTTGTCTCTACTTCTGTCTCTGTCTCTCTGTGCATATGCTGTCTCTCTCTCTTTCTCTCTCTATCTCTCTGTCTCTGCTGTCTCTGTCTCTTGTGTCTCTAACTGTGTGCGTTTATCTGTCCTCTCTTCGTTACTCTCTGCTGTATCTGCCTATCCTATGAAGTTGTATGATGTTTCTGCTGTTGCTGTTATTGCTGCTTCTGCTGCTTCTGCTGCTGCTGCTGTTGCTGTTGCTGTTGCTGCTTCTGTTGCTATTGCTGCAGGGGTGGGAATCGAACGCGTACGCGCTGACGCAGGGGCCTCCATCTGGCCTGCTCATATCTGCTGCATGCAGAAGCCCTTCTCTTCTTCCTTCTGCTAAATCTAATTGAACAAAAGCCCCATACTCCATAATGCGCGTTACTATGCCATCATAAATACCGTAGCGTTCAAGAGGGGCCCTCTTCTTTCCGCAGAAATTCAAGCTTTCATCTGCTGCTGCTGCTGCTGTTGCTGCTGCTGCTGCTGCTGCTGGGGATCCACCGCCCACAGGCAGGGCGTTCGCTCCCGTTGCACTGAAACCGCCTCTGCTGCTGCTGCTGCTGCTGCTGCTGTCCTTTCCTCCCCAATAACCTCCGTTCTTCGCTCTATTGAATGCCTCTTGCTGCTCTTTTAATAATTCTTTGTCATCTTTCTCTCTCTCTAGCAGCTTCTGTGCATGCGCAGAGAGAGGAGCATGTTCATCAGGCCTCTCTAGCTGCAACTCAGGTCTATCAAATCTATTTTGCATGCAGAGGCCCGGAAACTTCAATTCTTTTTCAGTTGGCGGATGATTAGACAAAGAAAATGCAGTTGCTGGAAGCGGCTTCACTCCTCCACTGCTGCTGCTGCTGCTGCTGCTGCTGCTGCTGCTGGTAGGTGAAGGTGAAGAGGCGGCTTTCTCCTCTTTATAGTGGCTTGCAGGGGTTGGTGATGTGCTGCTGCTGCTGCTGCTTCCCGCATTGCTGCTGCTGCCGCTTCCTGCACCACTACTACTACTACTGCTGCTGCTGCTGCTGCTGCTGTTTGTTGCTGCAGTTTTGGGGGCCTTAGTGCGCGACACAAAGCGTGAGATTGAGGTGTACAGACTCACAGCCAGGGCCTGAGTTACTGCAGAGCCGTTGGACTTTAACTTCGCTCTGAATTCCTCCAAAGACTTCGACTCTTCGCCCAAATGCAGCACAAACTCCGCTAAGTCCTGAGCAACCCACCAAACAAACAAAACAACAATACTAATATATATATATATATATGTAGATATATAATATATATGTATATATATGTATTAGGTATTGTCGACATAAGTGTAGATATGATATATAGATATACATAGATATAGATAGAGACCGAGATATATATAGGTATAGATAGGTATATATATATGTAGATATATATATTAACGAATATATAAATCGACATATTTGCAACTAAACACTTAATTCGTTGTTGGTGAGCAAAATGCGCTTCATAGAAAAACAACAAAACAAATGCATGCAATATTATTACTCTAGCCGTACACAAACTCCTACACTAGGCTGCTGCTGCTGCGGCCTGCTGCAGCTGCTCTTGCAGCAGCAGCAGCAACAACAGCAGCAGCAATAGCGCATTTATCAAATAATACTGCTGTCTGCAGCGCATCCAGGCGCAGGACGCAGCATATACACTCCGTGCATGCATATTTGCATGCATGCATGCTTTAATGAAAGGCCTACCTTATCGCTGATTCCCCAGTGGTTGTGGAGTTCCGTTGCAATGCGCGAGATGAGGCTGAGGCGTTCAAGCTGCTCCATTGTGATGTAGGAGTAAGAAATATACCCTTCTCTATATGCCTACAAGCAGCACTTCCTGGTGATAGAAATAGACCGGGGGGCCCCGGGGCCCCTCCTCCCCCCTCTAGAGCTGCTGAAACCGACAGAAACAAACAAAAAAGAATATTCTTTTCCTTATCTTCACGGATTTAGGGTAGCGTAGAGCTTCCAAGCGCCGCTGCGCATGCAGCAACAGCCAAGGCGAGCCCCCCGCCTCTCTCGCTGAAAAAGAGAAATTAAGCAACTTACACGGAGAAAATAAAAAGAAAATAAACCAAAAAAACAAAATTTTAATTCAAAAATCGCAAACGAAACACAAGAAGATATATGGCGCTCCACTCTGATCACAACTGAACGCAGCCGCTAGTCGCATGCATGCAGCCCCAAAGAAAAAGGAGAAAAAGAAGAGTTTTAATAATGTTTTCGGATATTATTATCGTTACTTCTGCCATTCTTTAGGATATACAAAAGAAGAAAAATGCTGCTCTCAGCAAGGTGCCTATACACTCCAAGAGATAGGAGTTCAAACGAGTTTTCATTGCAGGTTCGTCTCGGGTCTGTGTTTTAAACTCTACTAAATAATAAAATATTTAAAATGTATATTTATATATCTTTATTATATTTATGTACATGTATTCATGTGTATCTACTCGCATATTTATGCGTATGTTCGTTTGTACATAGTTGGATTGGGTGCCTCAACTGAATAAGACAATTAGTATTTAATGCTAGCGTTGTTGCTGCTGCTTCTCCAACAGCTGCAGCAGCAGCAGCAACAGCAACAACACTTTTTCTGCAGTAACACCTGCTGCAGATCGAGCTCATCGGGGGAGAGAAAAGTGTACAGTGTATGAACACAGAGAGGCGGAAGAAAGGAGGCAATGAAGGAGAGACAAGAAGAAGGGACAGAGAGAAACGACAGCAAGCAAACAGCTCCTGAGGCTCTCTGGCCATCTGGCACCTAGCTGTAGCTCGCTGGCTAGCTAGCTAGCTATATCTAGCCAGCTAGCTAGCCAGAGGCTTCGCGCACTGATTCGCGCGGCATTGTCTGGAAAAGAAAGAGTGGATATTCATACTCTTCACTGCGCTACACTCAAATATATATATATATATATATATATATATATACATATACATATATATATGCCTATATATATATGCATATATATACATATATATATACATAAAACTTGTGTATGGATGGATACTTAATAAAAACTATTGGAAACAATAGGTCTAATAATGCTACAGCACTATTAGATGCCTCTGTTTATATGTTATTATTATATATAATATAATTATAATAATAATAGTAGTAGTAGTAGTAATATTAATACTAATATTTATTGCTGATCCTTTACGCTTTTTTGTCATATTATTTTATATATCAGAAACTTCTGTGCTTTCTCAGCAACAAAAACTAACAACAAAGCTCAGACGCCTCTATACAAAATAGTCAAGAGCTGTCATTATATAGACACCTCAATTATTTTCTCGCTGCTGCTGCTGTTTGCTGCTGTACCCAACCCTCAGCAAGAGCATCTGGCAGCTTGTATGCTACTTCTGCTGGTACCGAACTAGCTAGCAGCTGCTGTACAGTAACGAGCAGCAAAACAAATTGCTCCTCCTACTCTTACTATATTAAGTTCTGCTGCTATGCTGCCTTCACCTCTAAACAGCTCGGGATGCCGTAGCATCAGACTCAACTGCCTGCTGCTGCTGCAGCAGCAGATAGAAGCCTTACTACATTTGCTGCTACTACTACTACACTGCAGCAGCAACTACGAATGCCCCCATTGGGGTGTATGTACAGCTCAAGGTAATATAATATGCCACCTCTTAAACCGGTGATTGGTCTTCAGGTGTCTTTCAGGGGTTGCAAGGAGAGTCTCCCTAAACCCAGCGATGAGAGGGGGCCCTGCCTTCATTTGTCTCTTCAAAAGAGACACATGAAGCAGCAGCAGCAGCAGCAGCAGGCTCGATGGATTGCTGCTCATTCTCCGGGGCTGCTTCTCCCTTATACAACAGGAAGCTCAGCACCATCTGCACTACTGCGTCTGCTGCCTCGTCGGCCCCCCCAACTCCTCCCCCACCATAAATATAAATATTTATATATATTTAAATATATCTTTCGTAAATATATATTTAAATATATACAAACGTATATCCTCTACTACACAACTCCTATAGTAACGTTAATATACCAATTAACACCAAACAAGGAGAGTAAAGCACTCTCCTTCTTCTTCCTACCCGGCAATATCAACCCGAACAAACACAGAAAACCATGCATGCATGCACGCATATGCACGCGACCATGATGATGCATGCATGCGTGCATGCATGCATGCAAAGAAGCAAGAAGACACCCACAAGATATGGGCCGCTGTGCAGTATACAGCTTCTTAGCTCGCTTTCCCCTCTAGCTGCCCTCTAAAGCACACATTGCTTGCGTTTTAAGAGATAGCAGCAACTAGACTAGACATGCATGCATGCATGCATGCGTACATACATGGATGCATGCATGCATGCATGCATGCAGAGGAACGGAACGGGTTGGTTAATGAATGGAAGTGGCAGCTAATATAGAAGATGTTGTTGATAATGGATGATGAATGCAGCTGAACAATAAGAAGTAAAAGAAAGATAAAAACACCTACACCCCGTGGATACGAAGCTGCTCAGACCCACAGATGCCTTCTCTTTCTAGAAACTCCTTTACTGCTTGGCGTTGATCTCCTTGCAGCTGAATAATACTTCCGTGCTCTGCGTCTTCTATAACTGTACCGTTGCAACTAAATTCTTTTTTTAATGCACGAACCATCTTCTTCAAATCAAAGGTCTTAGGCAGACCCTGCACTGTCGTTACGCTCTTGCGGCCATTGCGCTGCTGATTCCTTATATCTGCGCATACACCCCAAACATTATATATAAATATATACACACATGAATATATATATTTATGCATGCATGCATGCATAATTCATTTGTCGCTTGAATGAGACTCAGTACAATTCAGTAAGGAGTACGAAGAAGGCTAAGCCGCCACAAACAAACAGAGAAAAACAAAAGGAGCATATATATACATATATATATGCGCATATATATAGAGGTATACATATGTATATATATTTTGTATATATGCGTATATAAAAATGTATATACATACACTATATATATATAAACATACGAAACAGCAGCAGCTGCACTTGCTACACAGAGAATAATGAGACTCCGCTCATTGCTGCCGCAGTCAGCGACATAAATATAAAAATAAACACAAAAACAAACGCATGAGGAAATGCAAGGGGGATTACAAAGGACAAAGTCAAAATGAAATGATGTATAAAACAAATGCACAAAAAGAAAATAAAACACTCGCGGAAGAAGTAATAAATATTGCAAACGAACAAGAAGATCAATCGATGGAGATATACACGAAGCAATTGACGGCATACATATATATAATAATGAATTATTATATATTATACTATATGTAAGTACACATGCATAAATACATGCATAAATGTACATACATGTATACATATATATATATATATACATATTTCCTGTACATGTTTCTCCGTGTATACATAAATATACAAACATACACATATGCATACTTATCCATATACACATACACATATATACACATATATATGTACACATATATATGCATATTACTTACGAATGAGATGCGTTGAAGCATTACCGCCGACACCACCTGCCTTGGTGGTGTCATTGGCGAATGGGTCAGAGACGCCGAGGTTCTGGAGGTCGAGGGACATAAGTGTATCCTGAGGAGAGCAGCAGCAGAAGCAGAAGCAGCAGCAGAAGCAGCGTCAGGAGAGCAGCAATAGGTAAGCGACTACAATGGAAAGCACCACCGCCCCCGCAGCAAACACCTACACGCTTGACTATAAACAACTATAAAACACAAACAAACTAATGCAACAAAACAAAACATAGAAAAGAAGAAGTATATAGACCCTGACAAAGAAATGAATGCACAGAAAATACAGCTAACGAAGCAAGTCTAGCAGCCAGGGGCGAGCCCTTCCAATACTGCAGATACACCGCTCCTCGCACCCCAAACAGAGAAGACACCAGAAAGCAGCAGCACTTTGCAGAAAAAGTAATGAAAGCTCCTTAAAAAGAAGAAGAAAATATACCCAACGCACGCACAAGCTGTACGCGCACCGCTCTGCGCTGATGCAGCACAAGGTGTATACCCACCTTAGGTATGACGCACGAGGAAAGAAGAATTCAAAGAAAGCAGCAAGCCGCAAAAACTCTAAATAACCAAAAAAAGACAGAAAGCGAGAGACGAGAGAATGCCAGCGAAGCAACAGTGAGAACGATAAACACCCGCAACAGTAGTAGTAGCAGCAGCAGCAGCAGCAGCAGCAGCAGCAGTCCACCTCTGCTGTGCAACAGCTGCAGCAGCAGCAGCAGCAGCAGCACCGCTGCCGCAAGGGTGGGGAGGGGCTTGCTGCTGGAGCTAGAGCCACCGTTTTCTTTGCCTTTTCAGAGATTAAATTTATTTTATTTTTTTATTGTTTATATTAATTCATTTGTACTCTTTCTACAGACATACGGGGCGCATGACTGCACATATCCGGTTCTACTACCTTCGTTCATCAGCTGCAGCAAGCAACCAGCTGCGCTCGGTAGCAGTGTGCTGCATAGGCCCTGAACAATGCTAGAAATATCCATTTCATGCTTAGAATAAAATTAAATTTAATTATATTATTTTACATAGGTTTTATGAATAATTTGATGAGACTTTGTGAGCGCTGAGCCGGCGGAAGACCTTCGGTGCTTCTTAGCCTTGGCTGGCGTGCAGGTACAGCCAGCCTTTATAGTTTTGCTAGAGTCCTTGTCTATCAAAAATTTTGAATAGTTACTTAATAGCAATAAAATATGTTGAATTAGCCTGCTATGAGGTGTCGTGGCTATCCTCCCAGGTGAAGCATCACTTGAGTTGCACTGCAGTTCATTGTAGGCTGTTCGTTATGGTATATGCAGAGGGTTAATACTTTCTCATTAATCAAGTGTGCGCCTGCTTTAGCCTCTTAGAAGAGGGGCTTCAGCTTTTGTGTGAAAAAATTTAGTCCCTCTCCACGGGAACTGTCAAGGGAAGCTGCTGCGGGGCCCTCGATCACAGGTTAGGCCCGTTATTAGGTGGAGTCACAACACTGAGAATTCTTTAAAGAGAAAGATGACGTAATCTTCAACCCCTAGGCTTCCCTGACACAGCAGGTCGAACGGGGCTGCCGAGGAGGGGAGTGGCCTCACTAGCGGCCAAACAAAACTTGCTGGAGCGCAACTGCACAAACAAACATATCCCAGCACCCTTCTTTCGCATGTAGTAGACACACGAGGGCGTAGGCTGTTGGCAGTGGCACATGGAGTAAGACTTGGGTGAATGCTGGCTACTGAGGGCCAAGTAAATGTTTAGCAGTCGTACACAGGGTTACTACATGCGCAAGAAAGGTGCTGGGTTATTGTTGCAATGACTTGCCTGCCCTATTGCGGAGAGAAGTCGCAGAAACCTCGACGATTCCCTGAACCATTCAAGCAGTGGTATTGTAGTGGGAGCTCCGCGTTGGTGTTGATGTACAATGTGAGTTAGCGCATTGACCCCGCATTGAGCCACAGAGCAGCTTGTTTAATAGCATGAAGAACCTTATGTTGCTCTTTCTTCTACACGCCTCGTGAAGGGTGTGAATCCAAACAAAAGAAGTCTGATGGATTTAAAGTTCTTGCAAAGCGTCGTTATTAGTCTGTCCTTGCCTGGCGTCCCTGGGCTCCTTCCACACATTCCCGAGCTGCTGCAAGCTGTGTATGGACGCCAAACGCTGCAGAAGGGCCTAGCTTTCACTTTACCGGTCTAATGTTAGGTTGGAGGGCAGGAAAGCAGCAAGTTCAGAACTGCACTGCTCTATTTTGAACCCATTTTAAAAGACGGATTATCCCATAGACACTCAATTTTTCTTGGCCGTGAAGTTGCAAATGCGGCACATGGGTGCTCTTGATTAGCTCAGTTTGACCGTCTGCCGCACTACGAAACTTTTTGTCGTTCTTAGTAGTGGTGCTCTTTGGAGAACCGTGGAGGTTGCAACGGTAATTATTAGTCACTCCGCCTTATGTAACTGAAGTCGAACAAGGAAAGAGGCAATAAGCCTCTCCACAGCAACGCAGAGGCTATCACAGCTACTGGCTGAAGATAAACCTTCTGTGAAGTCCATTGAGGCATCCGTTGAGAGCCTTTTAGCAATCGAAATACTCTGGGGGACTCCGGGTTCGAGAGAGCTCTTTGCATCTACCTGCTGGGCTTCCGGGCTTCCTTTTCCACTATTGTGTTGACCCCAGCATAACAAGGTAGACAATAGTGGTGCACCTTGATCAATACGTCTTTATGAAAGGTGTCTGGAGCGCTTTATATCTCACGTCCGCATCTCTTGTAGTAATGAGCCTTCTGTTGTTGAGCTTAGCAAGGACCGCAGGGGCATGAGTATCAAAGGACTAAGAAGGAAGCAACTTAGAAAGGAAGCAGGAGTCACCGTGGATGCACGCAGTAGATAATGATAGAGTTGGCTGCCTAGCTTTTTTCGCGTTCTTACAATCTCTCTTTATTGCAGAGAAAGAATGTTAGCCGCAACGTAGTTTCGCCTTTTTGCTAGACTGGCCAGCTCCCCTGTGCTGGAGGTTGTTCTTCTGGGAAGGTTCGCCTTCACCGTCACAATAACGATGCACGAATGATATTTGCGAAGCCCTTTGCTTCACTGTCGGTTAGGACGGAGGGAGGCGCGGTTTTTTAGTTGCAGGTGCTCCATCGCCTCGAGCTTCACTCTTTCATTCCCTCTACGCGGCTGCTGCGGTTAGAAATTGCAGGGGACAGCCCGGCTACGAATGATGGATACAGGAGCTCCAGATCCACCATGAGAATCCTTGGAGTTTACCAACGACAGGCACTACGTACAACGGAAAGCGGAGAGTTGCGACACCTCTCTACCAGCAAGCTCACAGTCAACATCCATCTGTAAACCAAGTGGCGTTTCCTCTAGAACCTGCTTTCTTGTTTGCGCGCATACCTGTCTCGGTCGCTTGTCAAGCCAAAGCTCCGAACATGGGAGTGAGACCATGAAAAGCATAAAGGCATGACAAGGTTAAGCACAGGATAGCAGTGGCTTGCCTTGGACAAATGAGCAGTACGAACAAAGCGTTAAGTACCTACATATGTAAGCCGACAACAGCCTGAACAAGTGGAGCTCCAAGTGCAGAAAAAAGCTTTACAAGCCCAACGCCCACAATGCGGTACTCAAGTACAAAGGTGTGTCAGGCCAGGTTGAACGAAACGCCATGCATGATCAACAACATGCAATCCCGTGAGATATTGAATTTAGGCATTTCCACATAGAGACGCCTGCAAAAAAGGAAAACCTCCTCAGCGTAACATGCTACATGGGACAGCATCGGCGGGAAGATATAGAGGAGATGTATCACTATTTTAACAGTGCGCGGCGCAGTCTTCTACCTAGCGCCCCCTAAAGATATACTGCTGTGATGCGCTCAGGCGCCTCTACTACTGGCCCCAGTCAATTGTCCAGTGGAGAACGAAGGCAAGTCGAGCGGGACTCCACACAGGAGATGAAACCGTACGTCGCCCGCGAGAGACACCGCTAATTGAATGCGTTCTAAATAAGTATTACTTTGTAGAAATGCCTCACTCAGGGCTGCTAGCTCGCGTGAGGCAACTGACACTACGACGGAATTTCCCGTGTGTCTGCATGCATAGGAACACTTCTACAATCCTTGATCTACCCAAAGCGGTCCCCCGCCTTGAAAAGCCCTAAACCCTAAATACTAAGCCCTACACCCTAAACACTAAGCCCTAAACCCGTGTATATTCCAATGAGTCGTGCTACCAAGATACGCCGAGAAACTGAGAAGAAGCCAACACATTCCTTCTACTGATATCTTGTTCTGATCAAGAGGTTCTGTACATCCAGAAGAGGATGTATACTTGTGCATCTTCCTAATTTTCTTATCCTATGCACCCTACAGGCAAACCCTCTGTAGAGTTTTCGGCGGCCAATAGATGCACAGCCAGACAAAGACCCAAATGCACTTCCTCAACCGTGAACTAGGTGCATACAAGCAACAAACCCTAAACCCTAAACCCTAAACCCCTAGAAGAGCATAGCGATCCTGAGCCCTTTCTTCAACCCCCTCTTGACGCTCTTCGTATCGAAGTCCCCAGAGGCCCCTCTTTGGAGACACAGTAGCCAAAGGCAGCTTCGCAGCTGCAGAAGGCCCCTCTAGAGTGAAGCAAGGGAGAAGAAAGAATCTAAATTGCCTCTCAAAGAGGGTCTTTTCAGCTCGGACTGGCGCTGCAGGTCATCCAGCACCTCCTTGCTCAGTCTCTGTGACGTCTGCAAGCATGAACATGAAAAAGAGAAGAAGACAGAAGCACCTTTTTCTCTTTTCACAGCAGTAGCCGTGGGAGCCTCGTTCTATGCACTTCGCTTCAAGCACAAGGTAGAAAATGCATAAATTGTATAAATGTAGTGAATAAAACAAAGCCACTAAGAGAAGCATCTCCCTCGCCTTACAGCTAAAGTGGTTTGTAGAGTGCGACAGTCCGCAAGAACATGCCCAAACTTCTGTAGGCCGACGCATGCACCGGAGGGCAAAAATGCAGCGACTAAGAAACTGTCTCCACACGCGGCCTCTACCTCCGTGAGGTCCCAAAGATAAGTGTCTCCAATCTGAAGCCAGCATAAAAGTATGTACACAGCATGCAACAATATAACAATAAGTTCATCTAGTGTTAGTGCATATTAAACAAAAAAATACAGCAAATGCGCACAACAGTCTTATCCCTGGTGCTATCAATGCAGCACAACAGACAATACACGAATAAACACAGCAACCCCACCACAATACACAACTCAGCACCCCGACCCCCGTTGATGCTAATGCTATATATATATATATATATATTATGCTGATTAATAAACGAATTCTAGATACACCTCAACTCTCCTACTGCTCTCCCCTCTTGCTATCGCTCCCCTCTGATAGTGTCTCTACAGAGAGCCCCCTAAACTCTGAACCAATCTTCATAACCGGCACCCTCAAGCAAAAAGACATTTGGGGGGGCACAGAACGAGAGTTTATTCTTCTGTGGCGTTAATAGAGTCTTAAAAACTTTTTGCATAGCTAACGCACAGGGGTAAGGCCAAATGCCTCACAATTAAACACACACGAACAGCAATGCAACAACAAGTATACACAAACAGAACACACCTGGGCTGCAGTGATAAGGATGGGGACCGTCTCTATGGGAAACGGTTTCCCTGCTGATATCCTGAGAGGAGACAGGAGACAGGAGACACACAAAAAAGCGTCTCCTCAACGCTCACAACGGCGACAAAAGATGAGTCTCTGATGCATAACAGAGGGAAGGCAGACGGAGACAGTGCCGGCTGAAAGGCGAGGGGGCCAGCAAAAGGAGGCAGCAATTGCGGAGTTCAGGGAGCTAGCTAGCTAGCTAGCTAGCTAGCTACCCAGCAGAAAGAACAACAGCTTACCGTTCATCGCAGGAGACTTTGTACTCCGTGCGGGCGAGCCCCTGGTCTTTCTCTTCTTCTTCCTCCACAAACACATTCGGCAGCCTGAAGAGACAAAAGAACATTTGAGAGGCGCTCTCATAGAAGCCTGCTGCTGCTGCTAGTGCTGCTGCTGCTACTGCTGCTGCTGCTGCTGCTACTGCTGGAGGATGTGCCCTACTTGAGAGCCTTCAGTGCCCCCCAAATGGCCATGCTGACAGCATCGAGGAGACAACCTCCAGCTTTAAGAACCTGCAGATACACCGCAAAGTAGCTTAAAGAAGCTGCCTATACACCGCAAAGAAGCCGTTCTTTCTTCTGCTACACCGCAAAGCAAGCATGTTTAACTTCAGCCTGAGGAGTCTCTATACCCTCTTGCTTACAATTACATCTATTGAGATTCTCCACTGAGGGCGTCCGTTTGCATCTGTTAGAGGCTTAAGGTGAGGCAGCAGCAGCTGTTCAAGCATTGCTTGAAGAAGAGTAGAGAGAGATCCCCCGTCTCCTCCTGTTACCTCAGCCAGCTCCTGCTCCGCAGCCCCACTGCACACAGCAGCGCAGCAGAGAAGCAGCAAAGCGTTGATAGGATGCTGCAGCTTCAGCGAGCAGCAAACACACGGAATCTGTCTCCAAGAGGAGACACACTCCAGCAACTAAGGAGACTGACTATAAAGCGGCAGCAGCAGCAACACTCAAACGCAAACAAATTAACTAGATACAAATGCAGATTCAAGGGGCGTGAACACCAAAGGACATCGCCGCTGCTGCTGCTGCTGCCGCTGCTGCTGCAGCTGCTGCTGCAGGCGCCCACGGCTGTCTCCTGTCTCCTCACCAGCCCACAGAGACAGTGAAGGGCTCTTGGCTGCCTCCTCCTCCAGGTAGGATTGCATCTGCCTGTCTCCCCGCACAAAAACAAACAAACAAACAAACATAATAAATAAATGAATTGCGCCTGGCTGCCCTCAACACACAAAAAGAAACGACAAATTGCCGCGTCTCGTGCTGCTGTCCATCACTCGCAGCAGCAGTAGCAGCAGCAACAGCAGCAGCAGAAGTAGGAGGTTCTTAAGAGACCATGCCTACACAACTAACTATATGGAGACTGACGAAGGAGTAAAGGGGATGCCCTACTATCTCCTCCCCCCCTTATCCTTCCCTTTGATTTTCTTGTTCTTTTTTTTGTGTTTGTTTGTCTTTTAATTAGTCGCAAGCCTCACATCAACAGTAGCAATGACAGCATTTTCTTCTGTTTGTATAGCAGCACTGCTGCAGCTAAACGGCAGCAGATCTACAGCCAGCACTCGAGGCCTCAGCTCTGCTCTCCCCCTCCCATCTGCTCTAAGTCCGCAAGCAGCACCATCACGAATAAAATGCATCTCTCCTCTACTTATAGACCCCTGAAAAGAAGAGAAGAAGTGCGAGTAAAAACCGGTCGGGCGAGAAGCAGCAGGGCCTCGTAGAGCCCCTGGGGGCCCCAATCCAGGGGCCCTTAGGGGCCCCTCATCTAATTCCATTGTCCAGCTACCGTTGTTCAGCAGGGGAGGAGAGAAGAGGAGACAAGCGAAGAGACAGTCAAAGGAGACAGTCTGAGGAGACAGTTAGAAGGGACACTAAAGGAGACAGTCTGCTGCGTGCACAAGCAGCCACACAACACCCGTCTCCTCAACAGCTCTCTAGAGAGCTCCAGGCCCCCAAAGAAGAGAGGAGGGCAGTAGGAGAAGCAAAGAAGGAGGAGACAGCTGTGAGGAGAAGCAGCAACACAAGCAAAGCTAGCGGGGGTAGGAGACAGGAGAAGCCTCTATAGAAAGAGGAGACAGAACAATGCAGCAGGAAGGCTAATATATGCAAGATACTGCTGCCGTCAGCCAGCAAGGTCAAAATGGGGCCCCTCAGTCTCCAGCCAGAGAGAGCAAGGCAGCAGCAATATATATCCCTCAGCAGCAAGCAAGAAGGGGAGGCTAAGAAAACACACAAAGCAAGGAAATAAACCGAGAACAAACAACAGGGGATGGTTTGTCTAGAGATTTGCTGCAGCAGCTGCAGCAGCAGCAGCAGCTGCTGCTGCTGCTGCTGCTGCAATCGGCAGCCCATCAGCCTGTTATGATGATCCCCTGAACCGCTGCAGCATTGGGTGGTGTGTTTTGCTGCTGTATTCTTTTTTTCTTTCTTCTTCTGCTCAATGTGGCGCAGTTTTGTGTGCTGTTTTATGTTTATTGAGGAGGTTGAATAGAGGAGGCTCGGTCTTCTTTCCTTTTTTTCTCGCTGATCTTGCTGCGTTGTAGCACTCTCCCTGAAACTCACGGCTGCTGCTGCGTCGGTCCTCGATCTTTTTTCTCCTGCTTTCTCCCTTAGTTATATTTTGCTTGGCTAGCTGCAACCTCTTGTGTATCTTCTTCAGCCTTTGTGTTCTTCTTCGAGGGCTTGCCTCACTTCAGGGCGCTCTCCGCTTCTCCGGAGGCCCCTCTAGCAGCAGCAGCCTCCCCTTTCTTCTTTCTCTAGGATTCCAAAGCAGAACTTCTAGGGATTAGACGGACAGGTCTAAGCTGTGGTTTGGCCGGTTGGCGGCGACGACGGAAGAGCTGCAGCAGCATCATCATCAGCAGCAGCAGCAACAGCAGCAGCAGTTACGCACACACCTGCCGCACATTCGTTTTCACATAACATGACCCACAATTTGTGAGGCACAACGGGCTCGATCCCCTAGCATTCTTTGAACCGCATAATGGAACAACAGCAGCAGCAGCAGCTGCAACAGCAGCAGCTGCAGCAGCAGCAGCTGCAGCAGCAGCAGCTGGAACAGCAACAACAGCTGCAGCAGCTGCAGCAGCAACAGCAACAACAACAGAAGCCCCAGGCTTCTTTGTTTCCTGATTCAGCAACAAGTGGAGTTGTGCAGGCCCCTCCCGGTGTATCTTTTAATCCAGCCCCGTCTCCTCCTAGTGAGTCGCCTGCTGCGTTGCCAGTTGCATATCCTATAGACTACAAGAGTTGGGCTGCTGCTGCTGCTACGCAGCTGCAGCAGCAGCAGTTGCCTTCTCCCCCCTCAGCTGTACATACACCCCAAGACTCTCCTTCTCGCGACGTGTGGGGCCCCCACAGCGTCTCTCCTGTTTACTCTCCTGCTCTAGGGAGTGATTATGCTGCTTGGCAGCAGCAGGCGGGCGCAGCTCATGGGAGTCCTTTGGATGCGCAGCAGCAGCAGCAGTTTTTGCTGCTGCAGCGGCAGCAGCAACCTGGAGGAGGGGAATGCCATAGCGGAGACAGCCCTCCACCAAGGCCAAGCGCTCTCTCTAGCGACAGTATGAATGTTAGCTTTGATGCTGTTCTAGAGCAAGTATGCCGTCTGCTGCACACGAACAGCGCAGGTACAGCTTCTTCTGCTTCAACTCCGAGAAAAACTTCTTTTGCTGACTGTCCCTTAGATGGACTTATGCCTGCAACACACATCTCAGTAAATGGGCGTATGTGGGTAGGAGATGAGATGCCTTTTGCTGCAGCTAGCCCCACAGCTGCTGCTGCTGCTGCTGCAGCGGTGGCGGCGGAGGCCGCAGGGGTAGAAGCGACACAGCAGCAACAGCAGCAACAACAAGCAATGCAGCAACAGCAACAGCAACAGCAACAACAACAGCAGCAGCAACAGCAGCAGCAGCAACAGCAACAGCAACAGCGATCGTCAGGCAGGTCGCGAACCCAGGGGAGAACTAAATACGGCCGTCCTCACAACCGTAAGCGTCTCCTTTCTGCACCGTTTAACTGTCTCTTCTCTTGTGATTGGCTGCTGTGCGCTGCAAGAGGAGCTGCTGCCCTCATAACTGTCTCTGTTCTGCCTGACATGCATGCGTTAGTTATTCTTGCTGTTGTTTCGTTTGTTTTGCTGCTCCTTCGTTTTTGTTTTTTCCCAGCTCCATCTCCTAGGGGCCTCCTTCATATTTACTTCACCTCTTTTATGCGGATGCTCTCTCTTTCAGCCTCCGTCGTCTTTATCTGCATGAGTGCTGCTGTCTCCTTGTGGTCGTCTCTCGTATCTCTCTCTTCCTCACCTTTGTTTATATCTCATGTGTTGTTGTTTTGTTTGCTTTCTTACAAGTATTAAAGAATTGCATTTCTCTTTGTTGGGGATTCCCTCCAAAGTTTGTTATTTTCTTGCGTTTGTTTTTTGTCTCTCTCTTTTTGCTTCTTATAGAGTCGGACCCGCTCATCCGCAGCAGCCCTACAGGCTTAAACGAAGGCAGCAACTGGGCCTCTCTTGCACAGGCCCTGTCGCAGGCGCAGAATCTGCTGCACCGGCCGCAGCAGCAACAGCTAACAGATGCAGCGGGAGCTGCTCAGGTGCATGACTGCCTATCCCGCTTGCATGAGGCGGTTATTCTCCTGCAAAGGGAGAATCAACAGCTTCAGGCGCGGGTGCAGCAGCAGCAGCAGCAGCAGATGCGGCTGCAAGCTGTGCACCGTCTACATCCAGCACCTGCTAATAAGGACGGGGTTTCTCCTGCTTCTCGCGCTCAGTCGTTGAGCCCCTTTGGTACCTCCAGCGAAGTGAGTGCGTCTGCTGATGGCTGCAACAGCAGCAACTCCAACGCCCCTTTGTGGAGGGCCTTAAGTGGCAGTGTACTGCCTTGCCCGGAGGAGACGCCTGACGAGATACGCAGTGCCCCCAACCCCTCTACTCCACTCCTGCGAGGCGGAGACGTCTCTGTTGAACAGTTTCTGAGCACGTGAGCAAACGGCTGCTGACCGCTATATATATAATATATATAATATATATAATATATATATATAATGCATATAATATTTATAGTGTATAATATGTACAGTATAGTATATATAACACATAATGTGTATATAATATATATATAAATATATATATATATATATATACATGACCGAGACTGTATATACTTTTTTTAGTATTGTGGTATTACCTCAGTTAGAATCATATACTTTATTATTCTTCAACATAGGGCCTCTTCTCTATATTTAACAGGCTGCTATGGCTGAGCGACTATGCTGAATGCATCTGCACATGTATCTCCACTGTATGCGTGTATTTCATATAAATATAAATGCATATATATATATATATATATATCTGGACTTACGTACGTGCATATATGTGGGGAAATATACCGAGCATGTGCACGCACTGCACTTTTTGATATATTTATGTATATTTCTACGAATATATTATGTATGAGTAGTCCCTTGAGGCATAGCTACAACGAAAAAGGCTTCCTCTTCAGCAACACATCGCTCGTCCCCATTGCGGGGTCCCCCTTTTGGGCGTGTGTTTCATCGTAAACTCGGTGTTGCTGCTGCTGCTGCTGCTGCTGCTGCTTTCGCTGCTGCTGTTGCTGTTTTTGTCTTTGTGTTGTTTCAGGTTCCCCTTCTCTGCTTGTTCTCGGGAGTACAGCCATTCTGTGTTGAAGTTTTGTGCAGACCACAACTTAGTAGTGAAGCTGCTAGGCTTTCAGGGGCGGCGAGTGGAGCTGCTTGAGCGGCACCACCGATGCCGCATTCAGACTTCAGCGCAGGCTGCTTCGTTTCCGGGGTATCCGAACGGTCGGTGCGTGTTGTTTGTGGGGGCATTGATATCGTTGTTACGAGCCAGTGCAGATCTCTTCGCTGTTGCAGACACCAGCAGGCCAGGCCTCCGCCACAACTTGGAAGGATATAGAATGTGCTTAGTAGTGCCGGGGGAGTATGTGGGGAGGCTTCTGCGCAGCAACTGCTCGGGGCTGCATGCGCTGCAAGAGGGCGGAGGCAAAACCGTCCACATCGCTCTAGGCAACCTCTGCGTTCTGATGGGTGGAGGATACTCTGAACGCGTGCTGCTTATAGATGGGGCCCTCGACGGTGTAGCGAGGGTATTGGAGATGGCAGCAACACAGCTGCAGGACTTCTTCCGTAGAAACCCGGGGCCTCCAGGGGGGGCCTCTGGAGGAGGTGGTGTTCCCTTGATTCAGAGATACGAATTTCTAGACTATCCCAAGAGGATCGATGTGCAGCTTTCCTAAGGAAAGGCGTCTGCTGCTGTGGCGCGCACAGCAGCAACAGAGACATTCATAACTGCAGCAGCAACAGCAACAGAAGCTACCCCCTTCAAGCCTGGAAGGGACAGCGCTGCTTCTTCGAGGTGATATATGGTGGGCCCCATGGGGCCTTGTGGTCTTTCATTTATATTCCTCGTTTATTCAGAGAGGACTGACACACAGACTGCCTCAGCAGCGCTAAGGCAGCACAGAAGCAACAAAAACTGCAGCAGTAGCAACAGCAACAGCAACAGCAACGGCAGCTGCAGTAGCAACTCCCGTTAGGCCTGGGAGTGCCTTGCTTCTTTGGAAGGGAGATTTGGTCCCCAGGGGGAGCAGCAGGGGCCAGGGGCCCCTGGATCCTTCAATACAAATTCTATGCTTATTCAGAGCAAATCAGAAATGCATGCAGCTCTCGTGAGTGGCGCAGCGCTGACGCCAGCGAGGAAGGCAGCAACAGCTGCAGCAGCAGCAACTGCAGCAGCAAAAACTGCAGCATTAACAACAGCACCATCTCCTATGAGGCCTAGAAGGGCCTCATGCTTGTTTCTTTGGGAGGGAGATTTGTGGGATGAAGCGATAGAGAGCTGAACAGAAAGAGACAGTGTGAGTACTCCGCCTGTTGTAAACAGGGGAGCTTGCGTCTTGTATGTACTAATAAATTGCGTTAAGAAGGGCGCCAGATATGGGAGGTCGTGAAGGGCCCTCCCGAAAGCCATTCCCCTCTCTTTTCTTTATTCGGAGTTACAGTAGGGGCCATCGCTTTTTGCAGCTGCGACGAGCCGTGTATGTAGGGAGGGGCTCCGTTGTCAATAACAGGAGTACTCTGTTAGGAGACAAACCTGGATGGGCTGCTCCAGGGGATCCACAGCGACAGCGACAGTTTCAAGGATATATTGGCAGCAGCAGGAACAACAGCAACAGCAAGCAACAGAAGCAGCAGCAGCAACTTACGGTCACTGTTGCTGCTTTGTGTTGTGGTCGTCGGTCAGACTCCGCCGAACATTCCACGCAACTCCGAAGGGAGAATCTGCTACGCTGCTATGAGCTTCTTTTGCTCTCCATATCTTGTGGGCAAGTGCAGCTGCTAGGTGCTGTGTGGCAGCAACAGCAGCAGCAGCTGCAGCAGCAGCTGCAGTTGCGCACCCGTGTTTTGCACGAGTGCGGCTTTGGGTCTCGCTGCGGTGGCCGGAACAGGAGCTGCGGTGTCGGGGATGCTCAGTGTGGGTATAGCACAGCAGAAGGGGCGGTTTGTTGTTGCTCTTCTGCATTATCATCGCACGCAAGGCTTGCGTAGCAGAACGTTAAGGAGAATGGCCTCTCTTCCGGGTTCTGTAGCTTTTCTATCGCTCGTAAAGGCCTCCCAAACATGCAGGGAACAGACACAAGGGGCCTTCGCAGAAGCAGTTTAAGAACCCCTAGCCTACCCCAGCTTCGCTCAGACAGACGGCAGCTGAGGTATCGGGGATGCGCTGCAGCAGCGGATACAGCAGTGGGGCCATTGATTACCGTTCTGCAGCATCCATCAGGCGCACAGCTTGTACAGCAGCAGCGAAATAAAACACAAGACCTTTCGCCGAAGCCAGCTGCTCTCCTATGACGTTCAAAGTCCTCCTAAACTTGTACATAACAAACGTCGCTGGCTTCTATAGAAGCACTTTATCGACCTCCGAATTTGCGCCAGCAAACAGAAGCTGAGATGTAAGGAATACGCTGCAGCAATGGATACAGCAGGAGCAGCAGGAAGGGCCCTTCATTTCTCTTTTGCACCACCGAAGGTGGAAGTTGCATTTGGTTCTCTTCCTAAGTCTGTAGCTTTTCTATCTCGTTTAAGGTTCCCCCAAGCCTGCAGGGAATAGACGTTGGGGGTTGTCGAGAACTTTGCGGTGGGTGGCCCCCTGACCTCCCCCAGCAAGCAGTAGCAGCTGAGGTGTCGGGAGTGTGCTGCAGCAGTGGGTACAGCAGCAGTAGGGGTCTTTTGTTTCCTTTCTGAGTTGTCAAGCGTTACGCTTGCATGACGCAGACAGGGAGATGTAATTGTGGCATGTAATGATGCTTGTGGCTTTTCTATGGTGTTCGCGGTTCTGCCTCCCCCCCCCTCCCCCCTCCCCCCCTCCG